AAACGCGTGATTGGAATTAAGCGCAGTGAAATTAAACTGACTACTCTTATATCACTAACTAATGCATAGTCAATGAGCGAATATGAATTCCAATGAAGATCAATGTGAGTTGGGTTTATTATTGTGTACAACCGACAAATTACACCTGGAAAGAAGATTAGAAAGGGAGTCAAAGTTTCTACGACCAGAAATATCGAAGTTAAAATCACCAACAATAACAATATCTTTATATATATCCACAAGTTCAGATTCCAAAGAATTAATATCACCAGTGGGCAAGTATACAACACCAATAATCAAGCTAGATGTACCTGAATTTACATGCAGAAAAAGAGCTTCACATACACCAGGTTTTGATATCTTTGAAACAATTTTAGATTTCATAGGAGAAGAAATATATAATGCGACGCCTCCTCCACGACGACCTACACGATCATAACGAATTATCTTATATCCCGGTACATGAACAGCTTTGTTGGTAATATGGGATTTAAACCAAATTTCAACCACACCATATGTAACAAATTAGATTAAAAAAAAAAAAATAATTTCATCAAATTTTATCGAGATTTCGCATTGAAAACCCCGATATTAATAGTATCAGCGTTAGAGCAAAATTTTCTTATAAAAGCATCATCGCTGATAATCTCATTACATTACGTGAAACCATAAATGAAAATTAGAAAAATGTGCGTTAAAGACAAGTAATTAATTATAAACATCTTAAAAATCATTATATCGAAATCTTAAAATGAAATAAGCTGATTACAAAAAAAAAAAAATAAATAAATAAAATTACATAAAAGATAGCAACTACTGTAAATACCGTGCTGTTCTATCGATTATCAAACAAGCGATAGGACAGCACGGTATGCTAACCCTCCCTGCCCTACCATATCTAAACAAATTATCTACATTATTGGATATTAATTATCTGCTAAATCGAATCTATTACACGGGACACTGCGACGACCAAGTTGCCTTCTTAGAAAAGCTTTATCTTCAAAGGGCACATCATTAATATTTTCCGACGTCACAAACTTTGTAGAGCCGCACTATAAGTCTAAAACCTTTAATTTCCTTATCCTTGAGAGCACGGCGGCAAGAATTCTTAATTTTAATTGCAGCCGGAGGCAAATTATCATTGAGATAAATGCGGGAATCAATAGCTGTAGGGATAACTTGGCCGAGTTTAAGATTCTTGCTTGCCATATATTTTTTCATAACTTCATCTCGTTTTAATATAGAGCAACATTTTATTAGAAGAGTTTTTTTTTTCGTTTTCCCCAGCCAAAAACAACATCGCTTTCGCCCAATGATACTCCAAGAACTTGGGGTATTTTAACGGAGATAACAACAGGCTCCACATTTGTTGGCAAGCGGCTCACTAAAATATCAGTGCGATAAAGCTGGTGTCGGATTTTGCGCATATCTTGGTTCAATTGCCCTATTCTTTTCTCGACTTGATTTTGACATTTTCGCTTTAGTTTTTTTTGTTCTACAAGTTCCTTCGATGTTATTATACAGCTGTCAATTTCATTTTTCACGGTAAGCGGTATAGTTGCGATTAATTCGTCAACTTTTTTGGTTAACTTATCGATACTATCCCAGATTTTTGCAGAACTACTGTCTCGATTAAGGCATGAACATGACTCACACTTCCAGAAAATTGAGCCACTGTTTTTTATAAGGAGATCATACGAGCTTTCATTTAAATTTGTACATTTATCTCTATGGTACCAATTTTCACAGACATAACAACAAATACTTATGCAGCTTTTTGTTATGTCGCATAGGGCAAAAATATAACTTTGCGGGGTGTTATTATTGGATTTAACATTTGGTGTCAGAAGTGGGATAATGCCATTGGACAACGAGGAATATAGGCAGTTTGCAAAGTTGATTGCTGATGCTCTGCAACAATCTGTTAGCGCCACGACGGCGCAAGGGCTCGGTGGCGATGGATCACGAACAGCAAGTACGGCTGTATCCATTCCGCCCTACAAGAGTGCAGATGGAACTTTGGTGAAAGATTACTTCGAACAATGCGAATGGGCATTGCAATTGGGCCGTGTACCGAACAGCGAGTACAAGAAGTTTTTGTTAGTTCACATGGGCATGGAGCTTAATAATGCTCTTAGGACGCTGGTCAGCCCGAGTTCACCATGCGACATTGAATATGATGTGATCAAACAAAAGTTGTGTGATCATTTTGATGGCAAAAAGAACAATTATGCAGAAAGCGTCAAATTTCGCAACATCGTCCAAGGAAAGGAAGAGACGATAGCAGCATATTCATTACGGCTACGCCAAGCGGCAGCGCATTGTGAGTATGGTGAATTTTTAGACAGAATGTTGACGGAACAACTACTCTGCGGCCTTGAGGCACGGAATATATGTGATGAAATAATTGCAAAGGAGCCGACCACATTTAATGCAGCTTATGACATTGCAACAAGATTGGAAGCTTCACATAAATCGGCTAGCGAAATGAAAGCGGGTAGCCAGTATAACAATGTTGATGATACGACGCTCAAAGTGGGGTTCAGCAATGTAAAGTTCAAGGGGGCTCAAATGCAGTTGCTGGCGATAAGTGTCAAGGTTGTGGTGGACTGCACACAAGAGATAGTTGCAGATTTCGGAATGCTGTGTGCTTTGCGTGTAAAAACAAAGGTCATATTTCAAAAGTTTGTAAGTCAAAAACGTATCAGGTGGAGTCTGACTACAAATCGGACTCAGATTCGGATGCCGTACAGTGCTACGCATGGAAAATAAGGTTAAGAAGCATGTTTTAAATGTACGCATTGAAAATGCTACAATTCCAATGGAGCTAGATACGGGATCTCCCTGTGGAATTGTGGGTGAGACGACCTTATGTAGAATAAAGAAGAATGCAAAGCTTATAAAAACAGAGAGGCAGTTCACTAGTTACAGCGGTCATAAGGTGCCATGTCTCGGACGTATAGCAGTCAACGTTCAAATTGGCTCTAAAACAAAGAAGTTAAATTTAAATGTTGTGAAAGGAAATTGTGATTCGCTGCTGGGAAGAGAATGAATTGCGCATTTTGTAGAAGAAATTGATTTCAAGAAAGCATTTGGTACGGACGCTATTCATTCCATCAAGACGACAAACAAACAATTAAGCGAGAAGGAAAACGATGTTCTACGCCATTTACTAAAAGAATACGACGATGCATTTGGTGAAGTTGCTGGTAAGTTGAACATGCCACCTGTCAAAGCTAATTTTGCACCAGAAGCCAAACCCGTATTCGCTCGTGCTCGAGAAATCCCGTTTGCTTTGAGGGACAAATATGCAGCGGAGATAGACAGGAAATTGGAAGCCGGTCTCTATAAAAGGGTCGAATTTTCTGATTGGGCTTCAACAACGCATGTGGTGGTAAAGAAGAACGGCAAAATTAGAATCACGGGTAACTACAAGCCCACATTCAATCCGAGAATTATTATAGATGAGCATCCAATACCGAAACCGGAATTTTTGTTTAATAAGATGAGAGGTGCCAAATTAGTTTGCCTTTTGGATATAACGGATGCTTACTCTCACTTACAAATTGATGACGAACTGGCCCACGCATTGACACTGAATACACCCACCCATGGATTGATTAGACCATTAAGAGCTGTGTACGGAGCTGCGAATATCCCTGCGGTTTGGCAGCGAACGATGGAAGCTGTGCTACAAGGTATTTCTAATGTATGTAACTTCTTTGATGACATACTCGTGTATGCGGAAACATTTGAAAAACTTATGAGTGCTCTCGAAAAAACGTTAGAACGTTTGCGGTGCAAAGGGCTTAAACTGAATCGAGCTAAGTGTGTATTTGCAGCATCATCAGTTGAATTCCTGGGGCATAGAATTGACGGAGAAGGTATACACAAGTCTGACATGCACGTTCAAGCTATAAAGGATACACCGAAACCAAAGACGCATGATGAGTTGCAGTTATTTCTTGGGAAAGCCACTTACTACGGCTCGTTTATTCCCAACTTATCATCCAGAGCTAGACCATTGCGAGAGGTGCTCTCTAAGAAACCATTTCAGTGGAATGCGGAAGCTGAGAGGTCGTATAGGGATTTGAGGAATGCGCTTATGTTCGACCAGGTGTTGATACCGTATGACCCTCAGTTACCCCTGGTACTAGCAACTGACGCAAGCAAGACGGGTCTAGGCGCGGTGTTGTCGCATAAAACAGAAGATGGAAAAGAGCGACCAATAGCATATGCTAGTAGGACATTGTCGGCCACGGAAAGGAAATACCACAGATTGATAAAGAGGCTCTGGCCATTGTGTGGGCAGCACAAAAGTTCTTCCTGTACATGTATGCGAAGCATTTCACATTGATAACGGACCATAAGCCATTGACACAGATTTTGCACCCGGACAAGAGCCTTCCCACGCTTTGTATTAGTCGAATGGCAAATTATGCGGATTATTTGTCGAATTTTAATTTTGATATCTTCTTCAGAGATACTAAAGCTAATATCAATGCTGATTTTTGTTCAAGAGCAGTCCATGCGAGTATGGTTGGCAAAATCCAAGAGGACCTTGATGATTTTGATGGGTTTGTTATAAAACAGATGGAGCAATTACCGACAACAGCAGAGCGAATAGCGTTGGAAACCCGCAAAGATGAGGAATTGGGTAAGATTGTTAAGCTCTTGGAAGCTGGGAAATGCTTGAAAGAACACGGATATAAATCACCGTTTGTAAATTATAAACTGTCTGGCAATTGTTTGGTATTTGAGCATCGGGTTGTAATTCCACAAAAAATTCAGACGCAAGGTGCTAAAGGACCTTCATGCGGCCCATCTAGGCATGGTCAAAATGAAAGGCGTTGCCAGATCTTTTGTTTATTGGCCAGGGTTGGACAAAGACATAGAAGAAAAACGAACCAACGAAATTTGCGGGACATCATTGGCAATATCCGAGAGGGCCATGGGAACGTATCCACATTGATTATGCAGGTCCCTTTGTTGGAAGAATGTTACTGGTGGTTACTGACGCATACAGTAAATGGATTGAAGTTAAGATAACTTCATCGACCTCATCAGCAGCCACGATTGATGCCTTAGACGAGCTGTTCGCAAGTTACGGAGTTCCAATCACGATTGTGTCCGACAATGGCACAGGCTTTGCATCGGAGGAGTTCAAAGATTACTTGACAAGAATTGGAGTGAAATACCACAAATTTACTGCGCCATACCACCCTTCTACTAACGGGCAGGCTGAAAGATCAATTCAGACTATAAAAGCAGCTATGAAAATTATGAAGGCGAGCAAAGAAAATTTACAATCGCGATTAAATCAGTACCTACGGCATTATAGAATTCCTCCTCATGCAACTACGGGCAAATCCCCTGATATGTTATTCCTGGGCAGGACACTGAGAACACGTTTTGACTTAATGAAACCTGAAGAATTCCAATTTAGCATGGCTGAAAAGCAGTATAGTAAATTCACCCCGACATATCGCGTTTTTGAACCAATGCAGGAGATATACTTTCTATCTAACAACAAAAGAATGAACAAGTGGCTTAAAGGCATTATAGTGCGGCGAACGGGTGACGTGCATTACGAAATTTTACATGAAGGGAAGGAGGTTAGACGGCATGTTGATCAGATACGAGGCAGAGTTTCAAATAGGAGAAATGGAGGTAAAGTGGTGACCATTGCTCCTACCGAGTCAAGAAATGTTATTCGATGCTCGTCACCTCCTCAGTCACACTCAACGGCGCAAGGATCAATCGACAATTCGGATGACGAGAACATAGTTACAAGTGATCATTCTCTGGGAGAGATTGAACCTGAAGAAGCAACCCTGGAAGACGGATTTATAACCCCGCAGTCCGATTTTCATGGATTTACCAGTGGTAACATTGAACGTACTTCAAATACACCCCAGCAAGAACCTTGTGTCCTACCACGGAGATCGTCAAGGCCAAGACGGCAAAGAGTCCTTTTCTCTCCACAATAAACATGGACAAAGGGGAGGAAATGTTATGTATTACCTTATTAATATTATAGTTATACCTTATCTGGCTACACTACACATTTGTATTTGAATTCACATTATATGGCAACACTATTTTCATCATTCCTTTAGCCTTAACTTTTACTCTTAGTCCTAAGCCTTCTTTTAACAATAAAACACATAACCTCTGAATGGACATAAACCCACGTGTTATTATTGGATTTAACACGGGGTTTTATATTTACCGGGATTGGTGTTGAGAGTTTCTCTCTCTTCCTCAGTGGTAAATTGTGAATTGTGTTGGAAAACATTACCACAGGTAGGAACAAAAAATGTATCCATCGTACACCGAATTGCGATTAATTCGTCAACTTTTTTGGTTAACTTATCGATACTATCCCAGATTTTTGCAGAACTAGTGTCTCGATTAAGGCATGAACATGACTCACACTTCCAGAAAATTGAGCCACTATTTTTTATAAGGAGATCATACGAGCTTTCATTTAAATTTGTACATTTATCTCTATGGTACTATGGGCAAAAATATGACTTTGCGGGGTTTTATATTTACCGGGATTGGTGTTGAGAGTTTCTCTCTCTCTCAATGTTGCAAAACATTACCACTGGTAGGAACAAAAAACGTATCCATCGTACCCCGAATATCCCATTTTCATCCAATTAAATATATCCTCATATCAATGCTATCATAGACTTTTTTGTGATCAATAATATAATTTCTATAATTTCATATAATGTCTGGGGTCTAAAGTGTTGCAAAGGGAATGACAAATGTATATACACTTTACCATATGGTGAAGGGTATGAAAAGCTTACTTAATATTGGACTACCGTTATGTGGAAGTCGTATAAACATATTGGGAATGAATCTAAGCACTTGATTTCTAAATTATGTGGCTTTTTTAAAATTTATTTTCTATGAATTCTATTATTAGAACAAGTATATCCACGGAAATTTTAGAAGAATTGTACCGCTTATAACTGAAGAACAAAAATCGTAAAATATCCGCGCACATTTTCTATTATAAAATAATTTATTTTCTATAGCAACAATATTCGGTCATAAACATACCCAATATTGTAATGTTATTTTATGTGAATGTCATGGTATAAAAAACGATGTATTTTAGATCCTACTGAAACTCGAAATTCTATCGTGCAAAGAATTGTATTGAAATGTGTGCTATAGCTTCCGATGTAACGATTGGTATATGAGAAAATATATAATACATGGATATTTCTTACCCAGAAATTTTTTTATGCATTGAACAAATCTAAAATATCGTCAATCATTGTTTACCAATATTTCTATGTATTGTTGTACCATGCTTCATATTGTAATATGGAAAACCTTTTTAGTTAAAACATTATCATCAATAATTACGAAAGTAAAGTAAATACATACGAGAATTTCAGGTATGCTTAATAAAGTTGCATTGTATGAAATGTATTTATTAAAGTTAGATTTGAGTTTTGACGTCGTTTCCCTATATTCTTTTGTAAGTGACATATTTTTTCGATCATTATAGCCATCATTAGATAGCCAATCTCCCTACCAAAAACGATCAACATAAGTCAATTTTTTAGTACAGCCCCGCTCAAATTTCGTTATTTTAGGTGTTTGGGCACGTTTTTCAACGGATTTGCCAGTAATATGGTATATTTAATATATGTTAACTTTTTTAATAGCCCTTTATAATTTTGTTTTTAAGGAATTAGTAAATACTTCTTAAAAATTGTGAATGGATTACCGAAAAAATGGGAAAAAAAACTTAAATCTATATCATGCAGACATTCTGTTAAAATTATACTAATTACATATTCAACACGTAGTTTTATTTGTAAAACCACTCAGAGTGTAGTTTCTTAAAAAAAGCTACATATCAATAATTAAAACAATTTGTATTCATTATACTAGTTTTTGGATATGTACAATAATATAATTACTGAAAAATTACCACATCCTAATAAAATGATTCGAATGACATATACACACGCATCTTTATTTGAGTGTATTTTCTAAAATATACACAACTATTGAAGTTTGGTTTATAAGAGTATATTAATATCTATTGTTATATAAGGACTATCCTGAAACATTAGCCGAAATTGATAAATTAAAATTTGACAAAATTTCGTCGAAAAACGTGCCCTAAACTGCCAAATATTATTACGGATAAGGGGGTTACTCTATAAAACTAACCAATATATTACATTTCAAAACCAAAAATTCTAGTAATAATATACAGTTATCACATGTTTAAAAATAAAAGCAAAAGTACCAGTAAAAGTTGTTTCTACGTACTTAAACAATTTGATTACTTGATATTCTTCAAGAAAAAAATCATATTTTTGGAAATAAGCTTACAATTAAGTGAAATATTAGAATAAATTTAAATTAAGTGCCTAAATAACATCACCAAAGTAAAAGTACATTTCAACAGCTTTAATCAAATAATATATAAGTTTGTGCAATTTTGCAGTCGAAATTGTTTATAACGACAATTCAAAAGTCCAGAATTTCTGCCCTTTATAGCCCACACAAAAGAATGTCGCTTATAACGACGACATATCGGGTTTAAATGCCTGTTTTGCAAAATATTCAAATTTTCCTATAATTTTTAAAAACGAAACCCAAAAGCAATTTTAAAAAAATTACAAAATAATATACAATTTTTTTAAAGCGGTTGAAGTGTAAACTTCCTTTGGTGATGTTAATTAGGCACTTAATTTAATTTTATACTAGTATTTTCTTCAAGAAAAAAATCATATTTTTGGAAATAAGCTTACAATTAAGTGAAATATTAGAATAAACTTAAATTAAGTGCCTAAATAACATCACCAAAGTAAAAGTACATTTCAACAGCTTTAATCAAATAATATATAAGTTTGTGCGATTTTGCAGTCGAAATTGTTTATAACGACAATTCAAAAGTCCAGAATTTCTGCCCTTTATAGCCCACACAAAAGAATGTCGCTTATAACGACGACATATCGGGTTTAAATGCCTGTTTTGCAAAATATTCAAATTTTCCTATAATTTTTAAAAACGAAACCCAAAAGTAATTTTAAAAAAATCACAAAATAATATACAATTTCTTTAAAGCGGTTGAAGTGTAAACTTCCTTTGGTGATGTTAATTAGGCACTTAATTTAATTTTATACTAGTATTTTTCATAATTTTAAGTTTATTTCATAAAAATTGACTTTTTCGTGAAGAATTTCAAATATTTAAATAATTTATGTACGAAGAAATAACCTTTTCTACTACTTTTGTTTATATTTTTAAACATAAAATGTTTGTATACACCTGTATACTTACTTTTGTGATTAACCGCATGTGCAAAATTTTGTTTCGAAGAACATCTTTATTTTGCAATTTAGCAATTGAGTCCACATTCACTCAAACCTTTATATCTACTTTAAATTAGACTCGAAATTATTGAGGAATTTAAATTCACAACTTTTAAAAGATATAAATATGGTTTACCATTTTACACGTACTTTAGCAGTTCAAACAGCTTCGGATCAGAAACACGTATATTTCGAGCAAGGTTCCAGCTAAGATGTACCATTGGGACAATACTTTTAAAATTTTGAAGCTTGTTCCATTCATACCGCTCAATAGCTAATGAATATTGTCGGGCTGTAAGAGGTCCAACATTCCATGCTATATTATTACACCATCCAACCGACTGCACCCAATGTACACAACTGAAAGGAGAAATAATATATATTTTAATGTAGTAAATAATGATATATTATAATATATAGCTATAGGTCATATTCGTATTGATGATAGCGGAAGCAATCTTGGTCACTCTGAATTTTAAACTATAACCATTATATGCAACCAATGTACATTCGTTTCCACGACAGAGGGGTCTACGATCCGAAACGACCCGAGTCTTACTCGGCCAACGTCTGTCACCTCAGCCCATTGTGTAAAAGCAATAGGGCTGCTACAACAACCAATGTACATTAATTAATTTAATGATAACAGGGACGTACGCAGGGGGAAATGTTTTTTTTTTAATAAATGTATATTTTTTATTCCACTAGAGTTCTCCAAATTTTTACATCCACAAGAGGAATGTAACAAAATCCCAGATGAAATCATATAAGAATTGGTGGAGAATATGCCAAAGTGTATAAAAGAACATAGATTGTGGACAAATCTATAGAAGAGATAGTAGAATCGTTGGAAGAAATAGGGGAAATGGTAAGATTTAATTTGGTTTTATTTTTAAGATATAGAAGTTTCAGTGTCAAGGGTTGGTGCGCAAAAGTACAGGTCATATATAATGAGTTCGAACTCTGAGTATTTTTATAGAACTACATTATTTGTACCATGTGTGGACGAACTAATTGCAATTATGACAAACAGATTTCTGGAATGTGAAAAAATAGTTAAATCATTATCGAGAATCATAAAATTTTAATGTAAAGAATGTGCCCCAATATTCGCACTAAGTCGTCAATATATCCAAATCAAAAGAATTAAAAATATCCAGTGACTGACTTCCAAGATGATGTGACAGCAATGCAAATTTTCGTTTGTCACCTAAACCGGTATACACACATTTTTTGTTCGTTTTCGTCTTTTTTCCATTCGTTCTTTCAACTAAAAAAAATTATCTTTTGGAATATATGCAGAAAACTCATGAGTAGGGAACAACAAGAATAATCGATATTCTCTGAAATTTGGGTCAATATTGATTATACCGAAATTTGGGATGTGCCACTGGAATTTTTACCAGGAAAGATTTTACCAAGAACACAAAATTCCTGTTTAAGGTGATTAGGTTGAAACCCGTGCCCAAGAGCACTCCGGTGATTTCAACAGACATTGAATTGATTTCTCATCAAAAATATGTATTTCGAGGTGCTGGAAATGTGTGCTATAGCTTCCGATGTAACGATCAAGATATACGGTATATGAGAAAATATATAATACATGGATATTTCTTAGCCAGAAAAATTGTTTATGTATTGAACAAATCTAAAATACCGACAATTATTTTTTACCAAGATTGCTATGGCAAGACAACACTCGTTTAGTATATACTTTCCATAGTCCACGATCTAAAAAAGGGTATCACATTACATTCCATGTAAGTGCCAGCAGTTAAGGGTAACTTCCTTTAAACGATCAGAACAATATGGAGTAAATCATACACCAATAGACCAGCACACTGCACTTGATCTCATGGCAGGATTTTCAAATTAGGACTCACAAGCATAAAATATATTAACGAAGACAAACCGTGTGCGATGTTAAAGTGAGTGTATCTAGAGTTATAAAAAATTGAGAAACATAACCTCGAACAACACAAACGGATGTATGATGACAATGAAGTACTAAAAATGTTAGTGTTGAAGTCATCAAACAAGAATAATATTTTAATGTCTTAAAGATGTTTTAAAATGGTGCCCCTAATATATTGAGATATCTGCAGTTGGTGGTAAATATACAACAGAAATAAAGTTGCAGATTGACCAGGCAATAATTCACAAAAAGGGACTCACATTTTCTCAGATCAACTATATATATATATATAAGATGCAAAAGTGAACTCTGTACCCCAAATAACATCAACGCGCAGGACGTCCTGTCGTATTGAACTGCAGCGACTACCAGCCATGTTGTGCGAATGAATGAGAATGCAACAGCTCAAAAGGCATATACTGATGGTTACCGTAGAAGGGGTAGGCCACGAATTAGATGGAAATACAAAGTTGAAAACAACATCTTGGAACGTGGTCTTTCAAATTGGAGGAAATGCGCACAAGACCGGCTGATAATTATCTTCAGCCGGTACTTCCCGTTATTCGGTATTTAGGAGAATTGTGGTACATTTTTCAATAAAATTTGTTATAATTTTTTTTCGACGTTCCCACGCCTCTCATTCCCACCCCTGCCGACTGAGGGGGCGACCTCCCCTTACGTATTGGTCGCGTACACACCATGATCCGAATCATGATGGGATTTGAGAGTGGAATAGAAAAACCAGCTACAGAATCTACTTCAACAGCCAGTTTGTTATTAAGTTTTACTACTCATTTAAAAATACAATAATATTAGATTTTATTTGTTCTACGCTCAAGCAAAAATCTACATTAGAGTATACATAGTTAAAGTCAATACACATTTTACTAAGAGGATCTCCCATAGAGTAATTCGTGCGGTGGAAGTCTACATATAACAGTTGATAGTGTCTACTAGATCGGACAGGAACATTTATTCTAATAGAAGATCCGAGAATTCTTTGACCCACCGTTTTATAAATCCTAAGACACCATAGGCTTTTTTTACCATAGATATAACATGATTGTTAAAATTTAATTTTGGATCTATTAGAATACCAAGATCAACGAAAGAATCTACAGTTGATAAAACCGAACTATTAATATAGTAATGTCTTATCGAGAAAGAATTTCTAGAAAAACACATATGTTTACATTTATTTAAATTCAAGTCCATACAATTTAGGCTGCACCATTGAAATAGGCTATTTAAATCATGCTGGAGTAAATCAGCTTGCTTTTCAGAATGATGGGTAATGAACAACTTGACATCGTCTGCATACATTAACAATTTGGAATGCGACACAGAATTTGGCAAATCATTTACAAACAATAGAAACAGAATCGGGCCTAGGTAACTTCCTTGCGGAACACCTGATGGAACATTAATCGATTTTGAAACACATCCCTCAAACAAAACTAGCTGTGTCCTATTTTGTAAGTAAGATGAAATCCAATTTACCAAATTTATACTAAAGCCAATATGATTTAATTTATAAAGTAGAAGTTTATGGTTAACTCTATCAAAAGCTTTACTAAAGTCTGTATAAATTGTATGAGTTTGTTTACGCTGAACAATCCCTTTATCACAGTAGAAGTAAAGTGTATAAGATTGGCAATAGTTGAAAGACCACTACGAAAACCATGTTGATATGGACTTAACAAGGGTTGAATTCTGTGTGAAATAACGGTAGTAATAAACTTTTCGAACAATTTTGGAATAGCACTTAATTTTGCAATTCCTCTATAATTCGAAACATTTGTTAGACTACGAGACTTGTGTAAGGGTATTATATAAGACTTCTTCCAACAAGTAGGAACATAACCATATTTAAGGAATAATTAAATAATAACGTTAGAGGTAATGCTAATGTATCTGAACAATTCTTTAGAATTATGCTGGGTACACCATCAAGGCCTGGACATTTAATAGGCTTTAAACTACGTAGATTTTTGGAGACCTCTCGACTTTGTAAGAAGGGCATAAATATTTGATCTATCTTTGATACAGGGTTAGCCAACAATACATATGCAAACTGCTATGATTGTGTTGGACACACGCATAGATCCGTTGGGAGAGTAATTTTCGCTCTCTCGGTACAGATCGTCTATGTTAAAGCATTGGAAAGCATACAACATGTTGAGAATAATGTTGAGTTCGAACACAGAACTGTGATTGTATTGGTACTCTCCCAAAGCGCCCACGGGCGCCTGTTTGGTGAACAGTGCTTTGATAGTTCATAAGGATATGGGTCTTTAACCTGATAAGTAGTATTAGAATAAGTCGTGGCAAAAAAATTTGCAAAACATTCTGTAATTTCGGAGTGTTTCGAAAATTCTTGGTTATTGTATTTTAAAATTGTAGGCTTAGAAGAAACTTTTCTTTTTAGATTAACAAATTCATAAAATGATTTTGGATTGGATTTAAAATTATCCTTAATCTTGTTAAGATAAAGATTATACAACCTTCGGGATTCTATTGTATATTTTGATCTAGCAACAGAATAGTTAGCATAGTCTATAGATGATCCTGATTTTTTATATTTTTTAAAAAGTTTATTTTTTGAGTTTTTTATACATGACAATTCGCGTGTATTCCATGGATGGCTATCAGAGCTTCTAGTTCTAACAGTAGGAACACATTCAGAAATAAATTTGTTTAGAGTAACATAAAATGTATCTATTGTAAACTCGAGATCAATAGGGCTCTTACAAAGGCATAGAGAGGTCCAATTTACAGATGAGATAAGTGAGTTGAGTTTGCAAAAGTTCGTTTTTTTATAGTTAAAAGTAGTTTTTAATGAGTTTAACGAATTGTCAGAAATTATGGATATACATAAAGTTGGCTGATAATTATCTTCAGGAATACAAATAGGTATTCTAACTAATTCAAAATATGGAGTATGATTTACGAAGGCTAGGTCAAGGATTTTCTCATGACTATTTACTATATTGTTTATTTGTTGGAGATTAATGTCACAAAATCGATTAATAATTTCAGAAGTAAATTGATTTAAATTTATATCAGATGTCAATGGAGTAAGAGCTTCTGACTCTGGCAATGAAAGCCACTTCACAGATGGCATATTAAAATCGCCAAGAACTAATATTCGGTCCGAATCATTCATTTTATCAATTATGGATTGTATTGCTAACATATGCTGATTATAGATATCAAGCTGCGATGAAGGAGGAATATATGAACAAGTGACGAATAATTTAAATTTACCCAATTCAATGGATATGCCGACAAATGCTATATCAGTTAATTGATTTAATTGGATTACATTAGTGGAATATTTGGCGTCCACTGCGATGAGGACACCACCAACCATTTTATTTATCCGATCTTTTCTAAAAATTTGATATTTTGAACTTAGAATTTCACTATTAAGCACAGATATTTT